ACAGCAATCTTTCTGAAGGCCCAAGAATGGCACTCTCCACAAAGATAGCCTTGCTGTGTGACTGCTCCACAAACGCTGTAGCGCTTGCGGACTCAGAAGGACAGTATGCGCAGCATGTTGATTCCAATAGGATGCGTAGTATTTCTTGAGTTTACACGGGTTCATGATGTGGTCCAGGACTGAAGGGGATGCCATCGGTCTTTTGGGCCACATGTTTCAAGACCCTCTACGACGACAAGGACTGCCTTCTAAGATTTGTTGCTGGGGCGTGCATTAACTGGCTCTGCGCCAGGAAAATGGGCCATCATGCGGAGACGACCTCGTGGGGTTGGTAGTGGGTAACATTCGGCTGGGAGGCATTTGCAAGCATTTTCGAACTATGTATGTCGCCCAAGCTTCGGCCACTCAGCTTTTTTACAACTTTGTTCGCATGCATCCTTGCAAGTGCATGGTTCGGCGGCAAGCAGCATTAACCTAAGGTGCCGGATGCGAAGCAGCACTGATCTCACATGAAGCTGATTGCTGCAGTTTAGGATTTCGGGGTGGGCGCAAAGGCTGGTAAAAGCATACTGCGCCTATGGGTTCCTGTGATGCCATATAGAGAACGGGCCGTGGAAACATGGAAAACTTCTACCAGCTAGGCAGAGTTGCTTTAATTGGTATTCGCAGGACTTCTGTTCCTACTCAATCTCTGTGCACACAGCGTTGCGCCATGGGGAAAAATGTCAGGACGAAATCCAGACAAAACAGATAACATATGTAGAATCTCCAGAAGTTATGGAAAGGTGCCCCAAAGTGGCTTCGCAAGCCGGTGGAAGCCGTACATAGGGGTTAAATTTCCCAACCCCCAACCCCCCCTAACCCCGCTATCTGGAAGTAGGTTTCTGAAGGTTTTGGCAGGCTGCGCTCAAGGTGAAGTTTGACGGATCCTGAATGGGAGGGTTTGGGCTGGGTATTGCCCCCACCTTATAAAACAATCTATATTATATCCGGGTCGTACTCAGGGTTTTACGTATATATACAACCAATATTATCAAATGGGGGCTAAGGTTTTGCTTCTGCGTTTACAGAATAAGTAGCTGATAACAGGGCAAGCGTCACACGTAAAACTGGTAAGCCACTCCTCCTTGTACCTTTGCCCCTATAACCCTATAAACTCTTAACCCCAAAGACTCGAACCCCTAACTATATATATATATATAGCCTGATATAATCCTAAACCCTAAACCCTGAATAGAGACCCCTCCCTTGCCGCAGGTGCTTCGTGCCGCTCGTGGACGTGGAAATACCTGCTTTGGCACGATCGAGGCAAGTCGTGAAGTTTTGAAAGTTAACGTCGCACAAAATTTGTCTTGATCTAGAACTAAATAACTACATGTATTTCTATATTATTTTGTACATATACTGTATGTATATATATATATTCTAAACTGTAGAAGCCCTATTATATGAACCTTCAACCCTGAATTCAAACTGCACAAGCCCATCTATGTATAAGAGATTCGCCACGTACCTCCACCAAGCCCATATGTACAAGTTCTAGCACAAACTGCTCTTCCTGAAGGTTCCTGGCGTTTCGTGGGCCCGAGATTGTGGGAAAAGAGGCCAGATTGCTTGAAGGCTTGCAGGGCTTTATACAATGGCCTTTAGATGTGTATGTGTTTTTTGCATATATATATATGAAAGCTTATGAGAAAGATGTCTAGTTAATGCATATAGGACTGTTACGGCCCTGTTCCTTCCATTATGTGTGTATTCCACTCGATCTGGCAAGGTCGCAGCAGCTGGACTTCCAGAAAGCAGGCAATGGAGCGTTTCCAATATATGCTGAGGAACTGATGATACGTAATTTACAAATAAATGGGGTAGAATGTTTTTTAATATATATATATTATAGAGTGGGTTTCTATACATATACTGATATGAGTTATAGTCTAAACTCCGTAAATGGGTTATGGGGATTATATAGCGGACTACCATGGGGGCTATTAAGGGGGATACT